CAGTTCCGTGACTCGTTACTCCGCTACTTTACAGAAAACATAACAGAAGCTGTTTCAGTCCGCCAATTCGGTAGCATTAAAAACACGTTTAAAGAATGTAAAAAGATCACGCTTCCTAAGCCAGGGATTCCCCTAAGGAGACAGTTCGAAACTGGTGAAAAAAGCTGCATGTATGGACATGAAAGGTATGACTTGCTCTCTCTGCGCTCATGACAAGGCTCAGGGCACTAGAGGTTGGAGGTTTTCATGCTGAAGTTAAGCCACTAATAGGTACACCACAAGGCACTGGTTGAGCGATGTTTTCAAGTGAGCACTGGCCAAATTGTTAAAACCCGACGCTTCGGTCGTTTAAAAATTAAGTTTAATCAATTGCAAATGATTAGATGCAGGCTTGCCATTCGTGTCTATGTAAACGCACAGCTTTTTTACTGTACATATTGCACGAAGCTAAGGGGCACTAGTGCAGCACAGCCTCCTTTCTCGTATAGGCGTAAGGCCTAAGAAATCTATCGGTCAGGATTTTTACGCATTTCAAACAAAACGTGTTGGCATTTTTCTAACTTCTACGTTTTGCGCCACAATGCGTCATACTTGATTGTTTTCAGAAGTTGAACACTCAAGTGATGTCCCAAACCGCCTTGTTTCCCCTTTTTCAACATCTTAATTTCTGCGCATATCAGCGTTAAAGCCAAAGGCAACGAGATAACGAGGCGGAGTCACGGAAATAACGCAAATCACTCAGTTCGTTACATCTCAACAAAGCGCCGGGCCCGTTGCCCCTTTTTAGAAAGTAGCTTTGTCGTAAAACATGATAACGAAGCGACGGACCGAGCCCAAGTATGGCTGTGATTAGTATTTGTGTATCGCTAGCCCTCCCCCCTCCCCTCCCCCATCATGGCGACAGTGCTGTTTTGTGGATTTTCAGGGAATCGGGGCATCAATGCTGAAGTATCTCATGTGGACTGCATTATAAACCTGTCAATCACTTACGTGCCGATTAAGGTGTTGTTCAATGATTGTGAAGCTACACACGTTCCAATAATCATTGACAATATGCATTTTACCCGCTCCTGAATGGCCTGCAGCGGGCCCGATGACATCACATCACGTGACCACGCTATAAACGCCAGGAGCCAAACAAAAGAAAGACAGCCAGTAGTAAGTTAAAACACAACGTGAGTTCAAAGGATCAAAAGTGGCGATTTAATTCAAGCCTTTAGCCTTTATGGCTTTGAAATACGCAAACGCCATAGGTCGCCGCCTTAGTAATTATGCATCAAGCAATACGTACAGTCTGAAAAAAATCCACCACCATCAACTCACCAACAGCGTCTTGCCTGCTTTGAATGTTGTAACGGATACTGCTCCTATCGTAGAAGCCCTCCGTGATGAGGTTGAAGGATCATTCATGGTATGGTCTCAAAGCAGAATCAAAATATTACGAAAGTAATCGCACAAGTCATATCCACAAACAACTTAAATGTGCTTGCACTATGGACTCGTGATTGGTTGGCTCACCACTGGTGTATAGAAGCCCCTCGCCATGGTACCTAGTACATTTGATACATTTTCAAGTGGCGCACAACTAGGATCCGTAAGACATAAAGTTACTGACAAACGGCTGGAGCTTCCAGAGGTAAAACAAGGTCAGGGGAGTGTGAGCTCGAAAATCATAGAAAGTGTCGGAAAAGGGTGCAGGAAAGGGTTTTCGGCACCCAGCAAGCGCGGCACATAAAGTACAAAATGTGTAAAGGAAGATAGAGGGTTCTGTGGTTTTGTAGCACAGTGATTTGTGATCAAGAGCGTTGCTTTTTTGTCACAAATACAGATTCTACAGAACCATTCGTCCAAAACACTTGCCCCGTTACAGCGACTGTTACTATTCGAGTGTCCCCTCCTCTTCGAATTGCGATCTTCTTCAATTCTTCAGGTGATCAGTAACGCACCGCCATTGCGTGCTCCAGGTTCAAAGAGCTTCCTGGCAAGTGATATCAATGTTATCTCAACATATAGATAAAATTGTGCAGCTATGATTTTCTACCCTGGAGAAACCAGACTCGCTCCTTGCTTTACTTCACTTGATTACTTGCCCCACGCAAACTCCCACAAAAAGTAATTGAAAAAGCTACGTTACCAAACAAGATCACAAAACACCTTGATCGAAAACCGCATCCATGTATCGCACAAAGGGAAGTCGGTCCCTTGCTGGGATCCCTTCGCTCTCCAAAGCGAAGACCAGAGAAGCGTATTGGCAAATATTGGACTAAAATCAGCCGCAACGGACTGTAATAAGCGTTCAAATATAGCCAGCTTGGTAACTATCCGAGGATTTTTTTACAGTGGTTGGCAACTGCCACAATTAACTAATTTTACTAACTGTCTCCAACAAATAGGGTTTTCAAGGTCATAGGCGGAAATAACACCGAACTTAGAATTTCAGCAAAGCTTGTGTTCGAAATGGAGCAGCGAAATTATGCCACAATGCGCTAAGCCGCTTAAAATACATCCAAGGCTCTTGCTCTTTGGGGGGTGAGGCCACCGCAGCCACCTTTTCTGCTTGATGCCGCTGAACGAGCAGAATATTGTGATCAAAAAGTGGCATTTTTTAAACAAACTTCCGAACACTTTTGGCATTTCGATCCCGTATACACCAAAACATCGCAGAATTATTGCAGCGCAAATAGAGTATGTCTCTCCTCGTCTGCCCAGGTCTGTCAGATCTTGTTCACAAACCGAATCAAACCTGCCACAAATCAGGGCAGATGATGCAATTTCCACCACATTAACCAAAATCCTCAGCAGGCCCAATCCTTTTAAAACATGCGCACAGTAATGAGGGTAGCATTAAAGATCATCGCCACTGACATTTTCAGCACTCCTTATCATTGCGAGCTGTATGAACCAAAACGTCTCCAATGGTGCAGCATGAAGCTTTGTCTGTTTGGGGTAGATCAAGAGGTTATCACGGCGTTATGTGTCCGCCTGGCACCCCGTCTCCCTGCGGGCCCTCTCGAGCGGGGCAGGGCAGGGTAAGAACACGCAGGGCAGGATGACAAGCGTCACTACTCCACCCGTTCCCTGCGGGCCCTCCCGGGGCGGGTTGCAGGGTAGGGAAAGAGGTGATCACGTCACCAGTCCAACCGGCACCTCGTCTCCCTGCGGGCCTTTTCGGGGAGGGGAGCAGGCATTTGGCCCCTACCCACGGCGTCACCAACCCACCCGGCACCTCGTCTCCCTGCGGGCCCTATCGGAGACGGAGAACAGGCACTGAGTCACGATCTAGGTCGCGGCGACCCAAGACGCAAGGATGAACGTCACCCGGCAGTTCCGCGCGATTGCAACATCTGCGTGACGCGACGCGTGGGGGCGGACGATGCGCAGTTCGTCCCGGCGCGCATGGGTCAAACAGGCTCACAGAACCCACAGCTCACAGACCCATGGGTCAAACAGGCTCACAGTGCGATGGGCGCAATTAGAACGACGGACCATTTTCAACACGTTCCATCCAGCCCCATGGCCTGTGTCGCCGCCAGCCCAGGTCACGCGTACCACGACACATGCTTACCGGTCACCCCGACGCCTGTCTGGCGCCGCGCCGCTGAACTCCGTGACGTCATCTGCCCTTTGGTCGCCGAATTCTGACACGTGATCCGCGCCGCCCCCCCCCCCTCCCCCCGCCCGCCGTTAGCCCGGGCCGCTGACATGTAAACGGCCGAACGCGCCAAGTTGGCCGCAGCGTTGCTGAGGGCGTGCGGGATTAACCGCCAAGGGCACTTCCCTTCACGGCAATCGTGGCACGCAGAGGGCTGACGTCACAAGGTCGTGCTCTGTGCCAGCATCACGCAGAGAATGGCCCCGCCCTCGGCTGTGCCGGACCTGGGACTCAGGCCCCGGAAAGGGAACACGGGTGCACAACGCGTCTGGCGATGCGGGTGGATGGCTTGCAATACACCTCGCGGGTGTCTCAGTGTTCGTCGCATAGCCTTAACCTGAAGAGCGCTAAAAATGGCTCATCAACGGTTGTTGATCAATGCTGCTGGGTTTTAAAGATGCCCTCATAGCAACGGTTATCGCTCCGTTCGGTTCTTCTGCCCATCAGCCGGTGTTTTTTTGGCATCATATGAGGTGCCATCACTGTATCACTTCGGACGACCATGGTACCATGACAAAACCTTATGCAGCTTCAGCTGCGGGATTTTTGTAAAATTCCAAGAAAAACGAACATTATCATAATTCATGCAGAGTTTGCTGCCGGCCAGTGTCGGCAGTGAGGGATTTGTCGGGGCGCCCAGGTAACTGGCAGTGTCGGAGGCGAAGGACTTTTCGGGACGCTTAAGCCACTGCTAGTGTCGGCAGTGAGGGACCTGCCAGGACACTCAGACCACTGTCAGTGCCGGCGGTGAGGAACTTGCCAGGACACTCAGACCACTGTCAGTGCCGGCGGTGAGGAACTTGCCGGGACGCTCAGACCACTGTCAGTGTCGGCGGTGAGGGACCTGCCGGGACGCTCAGGTCACTGTCAGTGTCGGCGGTGAGGGACTTGCCGGGACGCTCAGACCGCTGTCAGTGTCGGCGGTGACGGACTTGCCGGGACGTTCAGACCACTGTCAGTGTCGGCGGTGAGGGACTTGCCGGGGCGTTCAGACCACTGTCAGTGTCGGCGGTGACGGACTTGCCGGGGCGTTCAGACCACTGTCAGTGTCGGCGGTGAGGGACTTGCCGGGACGCTCAGACCACTGTCAGTGTCGGCGGTGAGGGACCTGCCGGGACGCTCAAGTCACTGCCAGTGTCAGAGGTCAGGGACCTGCCGGAGCGCTCAGGTCACTGGCAGTGTCAGGGGCGGCCGTCACGCGCCCCACTGAATGATCTATTCCTGGCGCCTCGGATCAACACACCTGGGCACAGTGGGCAGGCTGCCCGCGCCAGCTGCCAGCGCCCTGGGAGACCCATGGGTCGACGGCCACGTCAGTTCGCGAGCAGCCGCCGCACCCGTGCCTTCTGTGCGTTAAGCCGTCGAGCGCGACGCGAGTGGCAGCGGTTCAGGACGTGCGGGTCGTTACGCCGGCGTGAAAGTCCCGATACCCTAGCGCGGAAGTCACACCGCCGATTTGGCAGCCGCTTCAGGAGCGACGCACGCCTATTCACGGGGCGACGGGTGAGTGTCGTATCCGGCGACGGTGACCCAGTTTTTCTGGGCGTCTGCTGCCCCGCGGCGCGCACGTCCGGCGCCCAACAGACGGTTCCGACCGCACGCGCCGAGGCCACGGCCGTGGAGGAGGCGCCGCCGTCACGCAGGGCAGGCGAGGGCGGCCGTCGTCTGCTGCAGCGAGCGGTGCTGCGTGCGCGGATCAAAAGTGAACAATGTGGCGGCGGTTCGGCCTCGGCGGGCGCAATATGCTCGGTCATTATACGCTCATGACGTGGGTGCTGTGACATCACTCATCACAGGTCAACAAATCGCCGCACGACCGCTGGGCGCACCTCTTAAGAAAATGTGTCAGTTGTTCAATCTCGCTGGACGAGGGCTCTTTAAGAGTGGTTGGTAGGCAGGCTCTCGCTCGTGGCACCAACCAAACCAGCGGCAGCCTGGCACCTCATAACTCTTGCCATGTCGAGTCTTGACCCCTTGGGTCAACCGGTGACCTTCCAGGCCGAGCGAACCTTACGTAATACTCTGAACACATGGTGAAAACGTTCATCTTCTGGAACATGGAAACACATTTGTTTCATCGATACACGTACGATCCTGGTCTGAATCTGATTTGGCGCAAAATAAATGTTTTACGAGCGACGTTAAGTCAGCTAGGGTCATCCTAGGTTACTCATCACACTAAACCTTGAAAAACTGAGTTAGCAAAACTAGCCGTCTGGTCATTCTTATCCAGTGCAGTCTAGTCTAGTCTAGTCTAGTCTCTAGTCCAGCGCATTCCTTTCGTTCATTCCTCTCGCCTGTTATTCTATAATAATTTCGTACGATAGGTCGGAAAGTTTTCTTTGGTGGCTGCCAATAAAAAGCAAACACCAACGCTTTTTGCAAAAAAAAAGTGTTCTGCAAATCTTCCAGGCATGACGTAAGCGAATGGGCAAACCGAAAGGTGGAGGAAATGATGAAAACGTGTGTGGAGGTCTCGGTGCCCAGTCCTCAGCAACTCCGAGGATTGGGAAGAGGGTCGTCTCAGGTGATGACGTTTCAAACGTATCGCATCGATGTTGCACCGACGAGCGCCTGATCCTAACTCCTGTTGCTGCCGGCGGGTGGCGCTAGCCCGTCTTCGCTGCATCTGTTGCGCTGCATCGCAGTACACCAGTTGTGATTGGAGCAATTCGCCAAACATATGTACGAAATGCTGGCATGAGTCGTGACCCTTCAAAGACACCGGGACTTAAATTGATTCAACGTCACGACGGTACAACATGATAAGCTAATTACAGCTGAATCAGCGCTGGCACACGTGCGCCTGATTAGCCATTCTGTCGACACGACAACGATGACCTCACGCTAGTCTCGAGTCACGCACTCCAGACATGCACCTGGGTCCCGGTGTTCGATTCTGGCTCCCACCGGATCTTTCAAGAAAACGGAGACCCTGGATGCTGATTCCCACCAGTTCTTTCGTGAACGCCAGCTCCTGCCCCCTGGTCCTCATTCGCTTGCGGTTTGCGAGATTCGTTGACCAGCTTCCGGTTCCCACGCGTTCCTTTGCAAACACCAGGTACTGGTTTCTGGTTCCGTTTGTTTGCTCGCTTTACAAGTACGAGACCCCGGCTTCTGGTCCCTATCGGTCATTTTACAACTACCAGCCCCTGACTGCTAGTTCCTATCGGCTCTTTTACAAACACCAGACTGTGTTTCCTGATTCAAACCGTGTCTTTGAAGACACAATACCCGAATTCCTTGTTTTCAGAGACTCACTCACGTATGTGTCACTCACAAATATCCCACTCCGGTTCTCTAATTTTACTTGATACGTTGATATATCAGGTCATTGCCCCGTGTTATTGTCTGGCAATTATGTGCCAGCATAGCAAATTTTGTCGGAAGTAAAGCATAACATGGATCATTTCTGTAACACATCCGTTTCAGTTCATGAAACGAATACCCATCTGCACTTTACATTGCCTATCATCTCATTGGTGTGCTTGTCTGTTCAGACCACATCCTTGTGTCGAATTCTGAGCAGCCATCGTATCTACAATAGCGAAGGCAATCTGTAACATGATTGGCCAAACGAAACTAGACGCGTCACGCCCGCGTTATTATCGTAGACGCGCCGCTGCGGCACCAACCAGGTGCCAACTTGTTTTCAGCTTCTTACGGTTCGCTGGTGGTGGTGCCGAAATGCTGAAATGTTGCAAAAATGAGCCCAATATTGTATTTAGCTTCCTTTCACGATGTGAGCATGATAAAATTGCAACCGATTGTGGCATTGCCGCAAGCTTCGACCAGGGAGATAAACACGAACCCATGCCTCTTTCCAATGTGTTCGGTTCGCAAAGGATAGGGTACCAAGAGCCCTTGTACGCTAGCATCATCTTATACGGACCTAATTCGATACAAGTCTGAAATGGAAGAAACCTGGTATAAACAGGAGCGAAACCCATAGCCTGAAGTAAGCAGTTCCGGGAAGTCCTCTCTAAATGAACGTTACGAAATTGACCACGCAGGTATGCTTTCCCGATCGGGCTGGGTTTTGATCGCTGCATAATTTTACATCTTCAATGCGGTTTATCGAGTCTTTTGGTCTTTGTCTGTGTCGCATACCCTAATAATATATTGCCTGAAGTGCTCAATAAGATCTAATAGTTGTTACTGCCCGCCGCCACTGCCGTTCTCGGCATTTTGATCTCGTACCACGTGACACACGAAAATGGACGGTTTCGTTACGCTCCCTGATTTGCGTACGCTCTTGGCGTACTGTTTAGGTAGCTGGCATACCAATCGCCCGCGGTTCTGACATGAGTTACAGCCTGCAGTGTCGTGCTCCTAGTTATAATCGCTGTCTCCAGTCAAAATTTTGGATTTCAGGACCTCAGCATTGACCTAAGAGGCTGCACGCTACACGTTTTGCATAATTTCACTGGTTTTGTGTTTGTGTATTTGTGTTCTGATCATCTACACAAAAAGTGTGCTAACTGCATAATATACCATAGTTGATTATGTTTCACAAACATTGCCATTCAGTCATGGTTTCCTTGGCTACATTTTGTTCTGCTACATTCTGGCACCGAATTCCTAGATCTAGGAAGAGTTTAAAGATTGTAGGCACGTTGGTGTTTGACAGGAGTTCCGGAAAATCTAGATGCTTGCTGTTTTCCTGGGCACTTCCCCACAATGAACATGGCTTTTGCTGGATCCCTCAATATAATCGTAGCATTGATCTTGGTTCTTGAAGGATCTCTAGCCCAGTTCCAGGGCGGATCTTGGCTCATACTGGATCTCCCTGCCGAGTGTCAGGCTGGCTACTGGTGTTCGCTAATTTCCTCGGAAAGATCCACCTCTGTATCCACTCAAATCCGCCTGTTCTGGCTGGGTTCCCGGTTTTGATGCGAGACTGATTTCTGGAGCAAACGCAGTTCCAGAACCTGAAACCAGGAACCGGTTTCCGGCTAAATATCTTGGGAACCACGGGCATGTCCGGCAAATACCCACACACCACCTTTGTCAAAGACCAGCCATTCGAGAGCAGTCATCCCGAAATCCCCAGCCAGAATAAACACCACGACATGCAGGTGAGGACCTAGGACGTAAAAAGCCTTGGCTCGGCCGGTGCGCTGGTGGGCGGCGCGCACCGAACCCACCTCATCCGTGACTCACCTGCGACGCCGACGCATCGGCGTCGGAGCGTCGTGCCGGCGCCGCGCGCGCTCGCACTGCGTCGGCGCCGACGAGGCCGACGCGGCCGATCGATCGGCGCTCGTGGGCGACGCCCATGGGAGCGTCACACATGACGCAGGTGGGATCGCAGTCGGTGGCGACCCGCATGCAGTGATCAGCGCGCGACGGAGCCGGCAGGTGCTGTGTTGTGGTGTTAGTGACCGGTAGTCTACGCTTCAGGAGCTACTGCGAAGCGAAGCAGTCGGAGCGCGCGCGGACGCTTGAGGCCGACGTCGAAAGGCGAGCCAGCCAGCCAAGATGGCCATCACCAGCCTTCTGGGCGATGTCGCCATGACCATCAAGGGCAAGATGCCCGGCCAGGTGAACATCGACAGCAAGGTGTTCCAGCTGCACTATCGGCTGACCACATTCCTCTTCCTCGGTGAGTTGCACACGGGCATGAGGTCCCTGCGTTCGCCTGGCCCAGGCCCGCGGTAGTGCCAGTGCCACGACTGCGTGGGTGTGACCAGCCGAGCGAGTCAAACCACTGGATGTGTGGTGAACGAATGGAATGAAAAGTGCATTGGTTGTAATTTGTGTGAAAGCTCATTAATATGACACTAACTTAGGGTAAAGTTTGTGATGGTGACGCTCTAAGATTGGAGAGGATTTCGGGGACTTGCAGCATGTTTCAAACACGTTGAGCGAGTCTGTAATTTTCCTTGACTGCAACTACTTCCGCATGCCGCTGGCCGCCGGCACTCCAAGTCGTGTTCTCCAGAGTAGTGTCAGATGGTGGCGTTCTTAAACCCATGGTCGGTCGATGTGGTGTCTTTACTCAGCGCAGGTTCATAATGGTGGACGGGCACTTGGAAAGGTTTGTAGAGGCAGGAGCTCTTCAAACCGAGGCAAACGGAAGTCCCACTCATGCAGGTGTGCTCTCTTGCATTGTGCTTTTAGGTGCGACCTTCGTAAATACGCCCTTTGTAAAGGCTCAGCGAATCTCCTGCAGGAAAACATTGAAAGATAAACGATAGGATTGCGGGTTGACTTTGAACAAGAAGTGTGGCTCGCTGTCTGACACGATCTGTTACCTTCTGCTCGCCAGTGATGTGCCTTCCGCGGGTGTTTGTCGTAAGGCGGGTGTAATATGAACTCCACTACTTATCTATGTACGGTCCGTTTGAACTGGACCGCAAAGCCAGTTCTCTCGAACGCATCCCAAACGGTTCAAGCATCCATTTGGAATAGCGATGTTCGCGGAATTCGTCCGTTAAAATCCTTGCATACTATTGAGCAAGACACCCGAGAAGGACTTTTTGTGCCGTTCGTTTTTGTTCAACTTTAGCCCTATCCACTCGCGGTAAAACTGTACGTTTAGTTGACTTCGCGTCAAAATTGTTGTTGTGATACAGTGCATGATATGCTATGGTACGCTATTCATGAATGGCTTTATGTAAATAATCACAATCTAACCGAATCCTTGCACATTAATTATCGTGCCGACGGGATACGTCCCATCTAGTCAGCAGCGGCGAAGACGAGCACAACACATCATGGCTCATCAAAAAAATTCCTTCATGACGAATTTTTGGCCAAAGCATGGATGATGTCGGCTGTGCCTTGATCGGGTAAACAATTCTACCTGCGTTTTACACTTCAATTGAATGAAGTAACGTTCTCATATAACACTTTGTGTGATCCAGTTACAATTTCTAATACAACGTGCTGTGATGGGCAGCACTACATCCTCCGCAGCACTGGCCATAATCACCTCACATCTACCGCCTGACAGCAGTGCAGACGATACCCGTGGTAGCCTCCAGTCGCGGCAGTTTCCCGTAAAACTTCCACAGTGTGTTCGCTTACCAAGCAGTTCACTTCGTTTCGCCCTAGTCGGTGACTGCCAGGTGCCAAATGACCTGTCGCTATTTTCAGCATACCTGACCTCAATGGCGAAGGTCAGGACGTGGCTGTCGTGTTTGTTTACGTCTACCGCTGGCAGGGAGACCGCTTCGCACAACTTGCCCCAAAGGCATATAGACGCATATCGTTTGGCACTACTTTGCACGGTTGAGTACCTGATTCAAGATCACCGTTGCGTCACGGCATGGCGGGGAAACAGAATTTGCCAAGTTATTGTGAGTTCTGGCACCGGATGCTTTCGGATGTGGTCAAGCGGCACAGCATGTGCTGCCTTTTGTGCTTGCGTACGATCCTTTCAGGTTCACGTAGTCGGCGATTATTTGCATTCCTGGATTGATAAATCAACCCAAAGTCCTCGTCCGCCACGGGCGCCAGTATTAGCAAAGAGGAAGGACTGCGAGGACATCATGAGGACTTTCTTTGCCGTACAGCGCTAAGGCGCGTCCGTTTCCTCGTTCCTGTGAACGGCAATCCTCTTTGCTCAGTTACCAGCTGTCTTCTCGACGTCGGTCGCAGCAAGCGTTGTTTCTGTTTTGGAACTAGTACCTAGTGCCGATTAACTGTAAATCCTCAACTGCAATCATTGCTTAGAACACGAAGGTCGCAAAGAGTGCTTATCTCTCCACCTGTCGGCCATAGCTCGATTTTCTCCAGCCTCCGAAGCGCAGAGGCCCACTATGAACTCAAATATGCGTGCACATCTCTGAGCTCATCCTGACATCGCTGTGCGTTCGCAGGTTTCTCCATCCTCTCAACGGCTACCAGTCTGATCGGCAACCCCATCAACTGCTTCTGCGCCGACTGCGCGAGCAAGGACATCAGCAAGGAAGTGATGGACACACACTGCTGGATCTCCGGAACTTTCACGCTGCCTGACAAGGACCCTGTCGTCACGAGGAGGATCGGGTTTGAAATGTGTACGTATGCTCTACGTCCAGTTGTGTCTGCATAAAGTTGAGAGTTGTATCGCCTGCAACAAACCAGCACACTGGGCTCACTTGTAGGCCGGGAATACCGAGGTAGGGGGAGTTGCCATGGCCCTTATACTTTCAGTGAAAGCTTGACATTGACCCTACGGTAATGCTAAAAACGACTTCGAATGTGGTTGCTCCCGCGCGTAGTTCACTACCATACGTCTGGGAAACTAGAGATACGGGGTTCGATTCCCCGAGGTGCCCGCACTTCCTGCCAGGGTGAGAGGCAGGCGACGCCATATAGCCTCAGCAGCTGAGGGCGTCGTAGAGCGTTATTGACGACGAAATGTGGACGATGCTGCCCCCCCCCCCCCCCCAGCCGCATGTAAACACTTTTTACGTTTTTGCTTCCTGCGCCGATAATGGACGGTGCACCTTAAGGCAAACCACTGGGATCATAATTCCGCGAAACACCATTTAGAAGAAACCGCCCACTCGCTGAACATCGTAAGACAGGTGTCTGGCGCAATGAATGACAATGACTGACGCTGTTAGCGTCATCACAAATAGCGCATGACAGTTACCTACATGAAAATTGTATGAACCTATTTGACCTATCAGGAATCAGTCCAGTTGCCAGACGGATAAATTCTGCGCATCATTCGTGATATCCGAACACGGTCACGGCACGGCATGAGTGCCAACAAAGACAGTTTTAAGCCGCTGAGCTCCCTTGCTGCTCACAATAAATTACGCAGCGAGTGACGCAATACGTGACGCAGCGAGTGACGCAATGAATGACGCGGCGAGTGTCGCAATAAATACCGCCATTTTGTACGTGGTATGCGTCATCATTAACACTTAATAGAAGCCCATGGTGAATATCTTGAGTGTCGCGCGAAGGGCAGCATGTCTTTGTGTAGTCTTAGCTGAACGCATCGCTTTTACAGCGAGGGCCATTCATACATTATGCGTTGACTCACTCTTATTTGGGGAATTTCGTTTGCGACCGCGTCAAGGCACGTCGTCTGCACACAACTTGAATAAAAATATTACGAACTTCCGGTTGAGCTTGATACTGTCAGCGATGAATATTACGTTCATCTCGCCGACTAGCTCCGTCCGCGTTCGCACCCGGCTCCAGCTGCGGGCGCCGTCTCGACCTGCGGATCGGCGCCATGCCCTGAGCGACATTGTCCATGTTGCAGACTACCACGGCTTGGGCACGCAGCAGCGGGACGAGGAGCGCAAGTACCACCTCTACTACCAGTGGGTGCCGTTCGTGTTGTTCCTCCAGGGCGTGCTCTTCTACATGCCACACTGGATGTGGGAGATCAACGAGGACGGCCGGGTGCACGCGCTCGTTCATGACATGCGCCTGCCGACCATGGACAAGGAAGCGCTGAAAAAGAGGATTGGCAACCTCACCGTGTACGTCAACGAGACGCTGGGGTCTTACGACGGCTACTACCTGCGCTTCGTGCTGTGCGACTTCCTCAACATCGTCAACGTGTTCTTCAACATGTTCCTGATCAATCGCTTCATCAACGGCGAGTTCATGTCGTACGGGCCGCGCTGTGTGCAGTACTTCTCCAACTCGAGCAGCATGTCAGTGAGCCCGCTCACCGACACGTTCCCCAAGCTGACAAAGTGCGAGTTCCAATCCTTCGGCGTCTCGGGCACTGTCGAGAAACTGGACGCCATTTGCGTGCTTGCGCTCAACATCCTCAACGAGAAGGTGTACCTGTTCCTCTGGTTTTGGCTGGTGATCCTCAGCATCATCACCGTGGTCGTCTTCGTCTTCCGCACCTCGCTGATGTTCGTGAAGCGGTTCCGTGTGCCGCTGTTCCAGCGGCGGGCGCACACAATGAAGACGGCCGACATCAAGGACGTGGTCAAGAACATCAAGATCGGTGACTTCTTCTTTCTGAGTCTGCTCGCCAAAAATCTGGACATCACGGCGTTCCGCATGTTCTTGGCACAGCTGGCAAGGGTAGTGAGGAAGCAGAAGGGGCTGCCGCGCGGTCCTGGTCACGTGCAGCGCGGCACGTCGCAGGTAGATCGCGAAGCGGACGCGCTGGTGCCCAAAACACCTCAGCCCGGAGGCCAGAGCGCCAGCACCATGGACATCATGGCCTCTCACTTGAGCGGCGTGTGAATCAGAGCCGGCACGCGGGCGCCCCGGCAGTCGATCTGTGTTCTGTTGAAGCAGCTCTGGATTTGCCAAGTACTGAGCGTACCTCGAGAACTGCTGCAGTGTGTCGAGCACCGCGCCAGATTTGTACCGGCCCAAATCACGGTTAGGGTCAATTTATGGCGGAAGCCTTGTTGACGATGGACGATGGCAGACAACGTTCCCTTGACCTTCACAAGCCCACTGATCGGAGGCATGTACCATAGGCGGAGGAGCGCGTGCCCATCACGTCTGTTTCTCCCTGGATACTTCTTAATATAAGCCATACCGCAAGGAATTGAAGATGGAACTAATTCACGCATGCTTAAGGTTAATGGACACCGCGAACATCCTACGCTTATGGTATGTCCTGACCAGCTAACCGTTCCATTGCTGTGGCGCGAGGGGACCCAGTGAATGAATCACGAATATCTGTGAGCGTTTTTGTTACAGTAAAAGTGTACGGCAGTATCCGGCTGTTATGCTTTGAAGCCGAATACAAACACTTTCTTAGTGGTGCTATGAATTACTGATATTTTCGCCTTTTCTCATATGCTCACCAAATCTCATTTTAGTGATGAGTTTCACTCCGCCATTACCAGTGCGCAACTAGTCATTTTATGTCCGCTTGATGTATGTTTATCACTGCGATTTTTGCAAAATACGTCGCTGCATTCACGTGTGCTGTGTGCAACTCAGCTGTGTGTAAGTGTATGTGTGTGTTTGTTAGTCACGACAACCGTACACGTGGTACTACATGGGGATTGGGGGGGGGGGGGGCTGAAGGCTGACGTTCTTCCAAATAATGGGACAATCCTACATCACCCGTTTGAATCTCGCATGGATAGCAAACATCAGAAGCCCATGGGCTCAACCTCCCAGCATTCATGAGCTAAAAGAAGCAGTTTTGCAATCTTCCGCATCTCTTGCACGTACGTTACGAATGTCATTCTTTGCTGTGCCAGATTATGACACCTAGCGGTGCTGGAACTGATGACGGGTTTATCTCAGTCTTCCCGGAATTCTACGCGCAATTCACAGGCGTATACGATGCTGGCGTATTTATGTTTTTTAGTGGATGGATTATTCGCTCTGTGTCCGTCGCCAATCATGAAGGATCAGTATGAGCACATATGGCGTGGTGTTCATTACTGTCATGACCACGCACGTGATGATCGTTACAATGTGTGTTCTCTTAGTCGCTGTAATGGACATCGCCGGTCGGTATTGCCATGCTATGTCGATGCTTACCATCGCTCGAAAGAGGGATGGAAGAATTTCGAATGGTGGTCGCTATACTATGCGAACCAATCAATGCAAACGCCGTTCAAAATATGCAAAATGCTTGTTGCGAGTGATTTTTAACGCGTAATTCTGCAACTATTGCTCCCTCGTTGAGGGTCCTTCGCCGAGTTAAGTTTCTATTTGGAAACGATGGATGTTCTACATGCTGATGATGTTGCCCTAAACAACTGATCGCAGGAGAACTATCTGATCTTAAAGTTGTTAACTGACCCCACCGTCATGGAGCACCCAATGTTATTCTGTATACCACGTTAGACGTGATCGTAATAAAAGACATAGCGCTTGAAGCACGCATGTGAGCCATTTTATTGCAAAGCTGAAGACCAACAGCCTCGCGCCGGACCGATCGACTACCAAGGAGCAGTTAGTCGACCAACAAGAGACCAACATGGGACGTTGGGACTCGGCAGCTCCTGACAGGTGGTCGTGCTGAATATGATCACAGCTCCGGGCTAAGCGGCCGTGGTGAACATAATTACAGCTCCGGGCTAAGCGGCCGGGTGAATATGATTACAGCTCCGGGCTAAGCGGCCGTGGTGAATATAATTACAGCTCCGGGCTAAGCGGCCGTGGTGAACATAATTACAGCTCCGGGCTAAGCGGCCGGGGTGAATATGATTACAGCTCCGGGCTAAGCGGCAGTGGTGAATATAATTACAGCTCCGGGCTAAGCGGCTGTGGTGAATATGATTACAGCTCCGGGCTAAGCGGGCGTGGTAAATATAATCGCAGCTCCGGGCTAGGCAGCCATGGCAAATATAATCACAGATCCGGGCTAAGCGACCGTGGTGAACATGATTACAGCTCCGGGCTAAGCGGTCGTGGTGAATATGATTACAGCTCCGGGCTAAGCAGCCGTGGTGAATATGATTACAGCCCCGGGCTAAGCGGCCATGGTAAATATAATAACAGCTCCGAGCAAAGCAGCCGTGGTGAATATGATTACAGCTCCGGGCCAAGCGGCCATGGTGAATATGATAACAGCTTCGGGCTAAGCGGCCATGGTAAATATAATCACAGCTCCGGGCTAAGCGCCCGTGGTAAACATGATTACAGCTCCGGGCTAAGCAGCGGTGGTGCATATGATCACGCATGCACACTATATGTGTGATTATACCCTGTTAAAAAATATTAACCCGACGCAGCTTAGTTAACGTATATTTGGTTTACCGTAGTGGTCCAGATACTTATGCAATCATAGCATCTTGAAATGGTTGAGCGTACCAAAAGGTGTGTCTTGATTGAATATGGAGGATGTTGCAAAGTTCTCTCGTGATCTATTTGGTATCCCTTTGGTGTCCCTAGAAGTTCTCTTGCTATGCTCTTTTCTACAAGGTTGTTGTCATAGCTCTGTTTCTTACTGGGTGGCGAGACGGAGACTCATGTGTTTCCCCGCACGGGGTGACATGCTCCCAACGGTTCTGGAATTTAACAGCGCGAGTTGGTGTTACATGGAAAGAAACGTTGTAAGAACAGCGGTGTCCCTCTCCCGCCCCACCACCCCCAACTCACACGTAAGTATACTTTTCCTTGACATGGCCAGCATGAGTACCACGCGGCGGTATTCGGGTTGCGGCAGTCTTTTAGCTCATAACTTCACAGTCGAAGTCAAAACGCAAACAATATTTCCATCACGTGAATTTATCCTCTCATTTTAGCCCTTATTCCTTCTCCGCGTTCTCTCTTGGCTAAGGTCAGGTCATCCCAAGCAGTGTACATAGCTTCCTGCATCCCGATCACACTCAAGCGCTTGCAAACTGAGAACAAAACCAAATGCTCTTTACTGCAGCATCCAGCTTGTAATGCTGTCGGCTCCAGTGCGGGCAGGCATGTTTAATTCGCCAAGATCATTTACGTAACGGGAACCGATTTTTCAAACGTTCGGTAAGTGCCTACATTGTTCTCAGCCTACCCCTTATATGCGCCTAACGGTGCATCGCTGCCGCCCACCCTGGTCCGCTCTGACTCTGTTATTTTCCATCAACTTTTCTCGTTCGAAGAAAACCGGCCGTGCAGGCGCGCGGCGCTTTTCAGGGCGCTCCCACCTTGCTGCAGTGCTCTCCTGCAACGTGGGGTGACGTCAGCAGGGCACGGGTGGAGGCTGCTTATTTACAGAGCAAGATGAGCTGCTGGCCAGGCATGTGGCGGACGGCATCGGGCATGGTGTGGGGACGATACCGGGATAGCATGGAAACCAGTCAATAGCATGGAAAAACCAGTCAAAATAGCATGGAAACAATGGGATAGCATGCCCTTGCCTGCCATGCAACTGCGGGGCGGACTGCTCTGCTTCGCACTCCTAGTTTCCCCGACAGCTGACTGCAAACGCACACCAAGCCGTGAACCTGGCCATTTAGTGGTGCGACTTTGTTATAAGAAGGCGGAGTACCCGCAAGCCTGTTGAACGCTGGGCACAGCACTACTTGCGAATGCTAACTGAGGCGTTAGCTCACGACTCCTGGAGTTTGTGCGTATAAAGAGAGAGTGCATGGCTTCTTTAATTGTTGTTATCGACACAGAGATAGATGCCGTTAGAAACTGCGACATCATTCGTTAATGATGTCAACATCAGGCTGAAGACATGTATCTGGCACCTCGACGTCCCCAGCGTCGCTGCCACAGCGGTATCTGACACTCTGTTTATTGCTGATGTGCATACCGCCACAGGGCTGGGCCGGTTGGCGACCATCATTCTGTGATGGCATCTATGTCAGTCGGCACCCGGAGGGACAAAGGAATGAAGTCGCAGCCCCCCACCTTTCCAAACCCGGTCCAAAACGGTCGTATAATGCCAGGAGATTCCTGCGACCTTCTTTTAGAGGCTATGACCATTAGCACATGAGTGCGCTCCAGAGTCCTTCCCCAGCGGCGGCGGCGGCGCAGGTCGTCGGCCGGCGCCGGGCTGCGCCGCCGGTGAGGGCAAGACCAGCGCTGGCCCCGCCGTCCTGGGGGTCGACCCTCCCTGCAGCGGGCGCGCTCCGGCCCGTCCGAGCCGCCGGGGACGCGGCCGCCACCAGGCGCCGGCTTGGTTCGGCGAGACATTCAGTCCGTCTGAAGTGCACTGCAGCTGCCCGACAGGTGCACGGAGCACGGGGAAAGATCAGCTGCACTGCAAGTGTCCTGTGCCGAAGCAGGTGTCATTCAGGTTGCATTAAAAATGTTGCCAAGATGAAAAAGCGTTTCTTATAACGTTGCGCGATTTGGGAGATAGGATTTGGTGTGTAAAGTATGCATTCAGCGACGTCTGCTTTCTTGAATCTATATTCTAAACAAAGGCTCAGGAACTGGAGTCTGTGGATGCCGTGGTACTCCTCTTTTTGAAAATGCTGAGCATTTACCATGGCGGCGCATGGAGAGAATCTACTCCAAAACCGGTTTTGACAACCCATCTTTTCAAACATTCCTTGGCCTTCAATGCTCGCAGGTGTGCGATTGAAAATTTTGAGGCCGCTGTCAGGAATGCATCGAGGCTGACAGACTCTCGCAAGCATGTGCATATGCAACCAGTACGTCTGCTCTTGGCCATGCACAATGTCCGTCACTCGCTCCCCGTGCTTCAGCCACTCTCTCCATCAGCAATGGTCCTGTTTACTCGGGCTGACGTGGCTGCTGACGAAGATTGCTGGATGACCTCGGCTGTTTTTTGCTCTGCTTTCAGCCCAGGCTGCAAAGACGGCTTCAATCTAGCTCCAATACAGTAGCAGATTGTCGCTAACTAAGAAGGCGCCCGCGCTGCGCACTGCAGATAAATGCGGGTCGGGACCGAATTTTGCAGCTGAAGCTGGCGCCGAGCCACGATAGCGCTAAAACGCAGGGCTTTTCTGATTAATATGATTCATGCGTCAAATGCACATGCTCCATATTTCATGGAGTATGAATGGACGTGCACATAACAAAAGCGAAATGTTTATGAAATCAGCGTCTTGGTCATGGTATAATGCCACGTTATAAATTGTGGAGCGACTCTCAGCAGCAAGTCCGGAGCACTGGAGGTGCAGACCTGTGAGCGCCCAAGCTACGAAATCAGCCGGCAGGCATTGATGCAAGAATTCTGTCCCTCATTACGTAACGTAACGCGCCACTTCCCTCTCCCGTAGCGCAGCGTTCGCAGAAGTCCTCCCCTTCCCCCCGTCGCCGTGTTGGGCGGCGGCCAACGAGCCATTCTGCGGGGCCCGGGCGGCGCGGGAGCGATCGCCACACGCACCGCTCCCCGCCGTCTGACAGGGCTGCTACCGTAGGGCTACCGCTACTACCGCCGACAGCCGGCCGGCCGGCCCACGCCTGCCGCCCCGCCGCCGACTGCCGGCCGGCCGGGACCGCCCTGGCCTTGGCCCGTCGCTGGAACCGTCCGCGCTGCCGGCGCCGGCGTCCGTCACGTGCGCCGCAAAAAACGACGGCGGGTCGGTCTGCGCGCGCTGCGCCGGCGACAAAAAGCCGCGTCGGGAAGCGGAGAGCGCGAGTTCGTCTCCATCTATCTGGGGGTGGGGCCCGCCCGTGGGGGACGGCGCCGTAGATCCCGTGACCTCGGACACAGCACAGGCGTCTGGCGGGCCGGGGCCGGGCCGAGTTGGGGGTCGTTCACCGTCTGGAGGCCTCCCACGGTGGCGCAGGAGGCCCCTGGCGGCCGTGTGGGCGAACGGTGAGCCTTGCTTGGTCGGGAAGAGGGTGACCAGCCCGGTGCGGGCCTTCACGTGATCAGGAACCGGTGCACACTGAATCGGGCGCGGTGTCGCAAATACTTTGGTGACTCGTTTTGGCCGGGGAAAGGCGACGGTCGCCTTGGATGGTGGGCATTCGACTGGCTGCAGTGGTCTTCCGATGCAAGGGGGCCGAGATGGTGGTGGTAGTGCTGGTTGTGCACTCATTCAAACGCGGTGCGGGACGTTATCGATCGTTCTGTCGTATGTCGCGTCGAGTTGTTTGCAGTTCGTGCTTAAAGACGGTCGATATGCATCACAAACGGTAATTTAGTTTGCCGCACCGCCTTTCAATGGACAGTCCGCAGAAAATGGATGAATACTTAGAAAAGTCTTCGATATCTCGCGGATATGGAGCCGCAGTCAAAGACACACCAGCGCACCGACGCGTATAGCAGCCGTTGCAGTGGTTGCCCGGTGCGGATGGTAAGCTTTGTGATTGTAGATGAACGACCTCCAGCCAGCCAGACCAGCACTTGCATGGAATAAGTTGTCATTGAATTCCGATCAACCTTAACCAAAGTTTACGCTGACACGTGACAAGTGCTTCCACGGCATCGAGTATGCATTTTCAAATCCCTTTTAGTAATGTAAGACTGCTTGCGACTACGGCTTGCTGCATGTACGCTGCCTGTTCGTTAATTTGCATTATTCCCTCGGATATGCACTTAACCCGTGATGTAGCGTATCGACAAACCTCCTTGCAGCGGCCCGGCGTCATCAAACCTGCATATGGCAAGCCGGTGTCATCAGACCTCAGACCACCTGTGAAGCCTGCTTACCTCTTAGCTCATTACTGTCACCAGGACGCTCTGGGCACGCAGCTCACTTTGCTCCAAGGCCAACCTGATTGGGGGACATGTCCTCGCACTGCAGCATTCCTGCATCAGCGTCCTGTGTCGGGCGTGCTGCTATTGTACTGCTGATGATGATCTGTCGGCTCAAGACGTGCTCAGGTGCCACTTGCCTCCAGCAGATATGATCAATGTTTAAAGTGGATTGGAGATTCTGTGGCTTCATACGATGCGCCGGCCTTGCCGCAAAAGCACAGAAACGCCACAATAGTATGTGCTGAACAAAAGTGAGGTTCTCCCCCCCCCCCCCCCTCTCTCTCTCCCTCTCTCTCTCTCTCCCTCTCTCTTTCTCTCTCCCCCTCTCTCTTTCTCTCTCCCTTTCTCCATCTCTTTCTCTTTTTTCTCTCTCTTTCTCCCTCCCTCTCTCTTTCTCTCTCCCCATTTTTTCTCTCTTTCTCTCTCTCTCTCTCTCTCTCTCTCTCTCTCTCTCTCTCTCTCTCTCTCTCTCTCTCTCTCTCTCTCTCTCTCTCTTTTCCTCTCTTTTTCGTTCTCTTTCTTTCTCCCTCCCATTGCGTCAGCGGGTTGGGGAGAGGGCCCTCCGTGTGGGTACCGTTTCCGCGGCATCCCTCCCCCCTTCACGTCCACCGGATTGTAAGTCGGACGAGGAATGCGAGGAGACGGGGTGAGGACAATGGCCCACCAGCAGCCGGTTCCGCCATCTCCCAGACTCGCAGAGGCGTGGGCAGGAGTAGTGCGTGCGATGGAGCACCACAGATAGTTTAATGATCCATTTCGTAACAGACGTTTAATTAGCAACGGTTTGCAGGCGCCTTAACACGCTAACGAATTCACGATTTCCTGCTACAATTGTTTTTGAATTTACGCAGATTGCCCGAAAAGGCGAGCCATCTATAAACAGCAAATTACTACTTTTACTACTCTTACCATCGTGAACAAGATAACTACTGACGCTTCCAGCAAGCACCACCTGTCTGCATTGTGCCTGCCCACTTGTTCAGCGCCAGCATCCCTGCGTAGCGCGAAGTCTTCAGGCCCGGTGTCCGGCAGCGAGCGCCGGAGTAGGGACAGAACTGAGAGATGGCGCGCGCTCCGTGACCGGCCGGTGAGCCAGACGACGCCCAGTCGGCGCCGCCGCCGGCCCGGCCAGACACTACCCTCTCGGCGCCCGCCGCCCGCCCAGTTTTACGGCCGGCTGGCCTGCCCGCCGGCTAGCAGACCGGCCCCGCCACCGGCTATGGCCCGAGTTTGATCGCGAGCAGTGTTCACGCTCAGACCAGAGCGGCGGAGATGAGGCGCGCGCCAGCGCTGCAGACCGTGCGGAGTGGGGCGCGTCCTCCGGCTCCCCTGCGGTCGACCCCTGACCCGGCCGGTCACGGCACCCCCAGACGGTGCGCTCGTCAAGCTGGTGGGAGCGATCGCGTCGCCCAGTCCATAAGTCCACCGCCGTCGGCTCTGATCAATCACAATGCCAGTGGGTTTCGTAAGGCGGCTCCAGCTGCTGGATCCTTTGTTTTCCGTCGTGCTCACTTTACTCATGGCATGCAGCCGCATCAGCCGTAGAGGTGCACAATACAAGACGCACACGTGTCAAAACACATAATACAAGATAATAAACACATAATACAACACATAATACACGTGTCGTAAACGACGACCCGTACAGACAAGCAGCAGCCGACGGTGGTGGTCACACGCGGCATCGCCAGCTGCATCGAGGCACTCAGATGGGGGCAGACCGCCGTCGACCGGCGCTCCGTCATGCGCGGCAGTTTCGCGCCGGGATAGCATCTAAAATATGAGGCGTAAGTGCATGCGCCGGTCCTACGTGGCTTGTTATTCAGCTTTACGGTCAATCCCAGGCGGGGAAAGTCGGCTGAGCAAGAAGTCATCATTCGGCCGTTACATCTGCGGGAGGACATGAGAAACCGGCTGCGTTGCAGGGCTGCAGCAAACGAGGCGCGCTCGCCCGTCTGATGATCTGTGTGCAGAGGTGCAATTAGCTTTGATGACTGCTGCACCGGAGATCACCGGCTGGCCGGTGTAACACGCCGAAGTGAGCCGGGCTGCGTGGGTGCACCAGACTGGGACGGGTGACGTGGGTGCTGAGGCGAAGGCGGGCCAAGTGCGTGCCCCAGACTGAGACAGTTACAATGCTTGCCTCAGACTGAGACGAAGAAATACGAGCGGAGCTCCAGGTACCTATTGTGGACTGTTCGTGCGGCGGATTTTCTGCAGCTGGGCGTTCGCTTTCTTTCAACATTGCCCGAACCCCGAAACGGGCAGCGAGCGCGACTTGAGCTGTAGTCAGGTCCACATGAGTGGAAACGATTCTACCGGCTCTTATGAGAAATGAACTTGATTATAAATAGCGATTCGAGTCGATTGTTGATTCAAGAAAGTTGCCATGACCGATTCCAGCTTAAGTTTAAAATCAGGCAACATATAGAGTGATTTTGAATGGCATGAGCGTGGTTCGTTCCCATACAGAAATATACCATACGTTGAAGGCTCGGAAACTGGTTATACCCAATAAAATGAACTGCAAAAAGTCTTTCAACTTTGTAAATCATCTGCACCCACAATGCATTATCAAAAATATTGCGTGTCTGCTTCTGTGTGTTTAGCACATCTGCATGCTCTGACGCACCAAGTATTCTTGCGAAAATTGCAAATTTGTGGCATGACCTTAAAGATGCATTCTGTAAATATTTACCTTGCTCCCAATCATTACAAGCTGTAAAGATTTATGGCATGAAACATTTTTCGTTTTGTGGAAATATTTGTTTCAGCTTTGGTTTCTGTTCGTTTTTACTGGGTTATGCGCGCAACATAAGCACGGAAATATTTCCCTAAACCCTGTGGAATAAAATTTTGGAGCTTAATCAATCACTGCAACCAGCTGTTCTTGAATTTTTGAAAGCACGTATCATTTGATACTGATTTAAGCCAACTTGACGTTGATTCGACTGACTCCAGCCGCAATAATCAAATTAAATCTGATTATAAATCCCAGCAAAAGATGGTTCAAATAAAGCCTAGATTCAAGTAAATTTGGGCAATTCTGGATTTGCTTCTAAATTTGAATTGAATTAATCAAAACCTGCGCGGTGACAACTAGTAAGCAGCTGCACACTGGTAAACAGGAAGTTTAATTGTAGGCAACTAGTAAGCAGCTGCACACTGGTCAACAGGAAGTTTAATTGTAGGGGTGGTAAAAGTGTACTTTTGTCGCCGACCGGATTTTTGCAGGCAAAATTGTCCCCAGCAGCGTAACGCGACACCACGTGAAATATAATGGTAGAATGATGGTTAAGTCTATGCACAGTAGCGCTATCTGGAATGGGCCTTTCACTGAAACCATCTTTTTTAGCGCAATTTTCCATGTCATGCACACAGCCAAGGCGCTGATCTATACAATGTTCTGCAACTAATGTCAGGATAGCTGCTCCTGTTAGGATTGTAGGTGCACCGACCCTAGACTATGGGATAGCCCAATCACAGCAGCAGTCTTCTTCCACTCTCGGGCCCTTGCGAGTACTGTAGGACGACCGGCGGCGGCGGTGGGCGGAAAACGACGATTTCGTAGACCGCACGCGCAGGGCTGACCCTGTTACATTAGCGAAGCCTACGGATAAGACTTCTGCCAATGTTCTCGATTGTACTACCATTGCAAAAAAGTGAGAAATGCATTTCTTATGCTCCATGTGTTTGTCCCTGCAAAGCTAAATAGTTTCATTTTCACATCTACATTCACACAGGAAAATTTGGCCTTAGACTTGGTCTAGTAGGGTCAATTTACAACATGAGACTTCTCACCAATCACGAGATCTCGTTGATGACAATTCACTGCGTTTTTTTGCCACGAAGTTCTTTGTTTCTTATTTTGCAAACAGCAGGTTTGCTGTTTGTTGTCGACCCCCCCCCCCCTCTTCCAATCAATCTGCGTTATAAAGATAGGCTAATCAGGGTAAGAACTAAGATTGTTGGTTACAGATATTTCTTTGTCATTTTACTTACACTTGAGTACAAATCTGCATCTCAGATAATGAAAAAATCAGCTGGTACAGCAGAGTGACACATTTTGCTACCAACATCCATACATGAATAGAAATGCAATCAACAAGCCAAACTTGCTCTCTTAGCACGTCACTAAATTCCCATGTTGGGCTGGGCCCCCTCAGTGCTGGGCCCCCACACGACACTTCTAGCTGGAAAATTACAAAAAGATAAGATAAATAATCTAACTATTACGCAAAAAATCTTCCCTGGGCTTTATTCACTTACCATGATCATTATACTGCTCAAATAATTCATTTTGAACTAAAACTAATGCATTCAGAACAGATATTGGCTGTTATCAAAACAAAGCAGATGTGCTGACAACCACATTTCGGGGAGAGGATGTATATATATATATATATATATATATATATATATATATATATATATAACACGTTATAAGATTGCCACGTTTAAAAAACATTCCGAAGCACACAACGTTAATTAAACGCCGAAAGTTGTTTAGTACATAAAGACCAATCGGTCATGATTCCATATGGCTCAAGTCAGAAATTAACATGTTTTCACCAAAGTAGTTAAATTTTAGTGCGCACAGAACGGTCCTGGATGACCCAGGCGGCAGCGGCGCCGTCCAATCAGAGCGCTCTTAGCCGGCCTCGGCTCGGCACGCCGGTCGGCTCTGTGAACACCGCTCGCGGAGACGAGCGGCGTGCCGGGCGCGTAGCCCGCGGGTGAATGGCCGCCAGTAGGCAGCGAATAGAGAGCCCGTGCACCAGTCGTGGACGCCGGCGCAAGGGACGGCTGCGCGCGTCGGCACGGACCTCCGACGCGGCCCTCAACGATTCCGATACGACACGAGCGCACGTGGTGCTGAGCCGCCACCATGTTAGGAGTGTTCGGCACCCTCAAGCAGTTTGTGAAGGTCCGGGATGTCTCAAACGACTGTCCGGTGTTCCGCGTGCACTACCAGTTCACCACGGCACTGCTGACGCTCTTCATTCTGATCCTCACCGCCACCCAGTTCATCGGCAACCCGATCGACTGCATCAATGACGGCGAAATCAGCGCCCACATCATCAACTCCTACTGCTGGATCATGTCCACGTTCACCATGCCCGACGCCTTCTACAGGTGAGCCTGCGGGGAGACAGCTTTTGCGGAAAAGGTCTCGGTTCTTGGAGGGGATGATCTGTTCAGGGGTTGGAAAGTTTTTGTCAGTGATGAAGGTTTGCCATGACGGTTGACATGACAGATGACGGATGATGGTTATTCGCGTTCCATATGACGTTAACAGCCACTCTGCTCCCCTGGTTTTCTGTCGGTACGTGATCGAGAAAGTGAGACGTGTATATGATTCTGAGCACCCCGAACAAACCGGCAGTGTCCAGAAGATGTTGGACCTGAGCATTTGCGGTTTGGACTGCTGATGTCCTTGAAATATTAGTATATAGGTGATAAATGTTAAAGCCGGTTTCTTGCAGTGCTGTTGGAGAACGGTGCCTACTCATCTACCACAACCTATAATCAGAAACGTGTTTGTTGTCTGGATAAATGTTATCCGTGTTTAACCAATGGACTTTCGTTAATGCATCGCATAGGCTGTCCTTTCTGAGCTTTGCCGCGCCCGATCCATTAACCATTGGATAATGGATAATAATAGGCTGTAAACTTGTCTCCGCTACATTCCGAATGCAATATAAAACTGCGTCCCGCCTACTGACTGGTGAGCTAAATGTTTTCGAAGCAGGATATTTATGCTGATGCAGACTTGGATGTTGAAGTGTGCATTGCTAATGCGACACATGCTGGTAATTTATGATGATAATATATGACGCTGCGTTTAACGAATTAACAGACATTTCATAGATTCGTCTTGTGTTAATGTCTAGATTACACACATGTTTCGGGCATGCACAAGACAAATAATCTTTGAGGGGTTATAGGATGGTTATAAAGGAAGTCTTAGGGTTTTGTTAAGCTTGGATTAGAGAGCTTCTCGGCCAAAAATGATCATTGGATAGGGGATGACAGAAAGTGAATATTGGAGCACAACTGCATGTTTGTGGGGGTTCATTCGCCGATACCCAACCCGCACAAGAACTCGACCCCTATGCGTGGTACGCGCTCAAGGCGCGGACGGGGATTCCACCATGGGCACTTACGCCACTCATGGCTTGTGCATGCTGCTCGCCGCGATCTACAAGGGTGTCGTGAGGATGCAGGATAAATCGAATATGAACAAAAAGAAGGGAGGATGGAAGTACAGGTACATGCTCAACGACTCGGCATGTGTTCCATGGATGTAATACATGTGCCAAACTTCACATTGCTTGAGAGCTATGGCAACTAAGTTACCAAAGTTGTTCGGGCATTGCTGGGCACTTGGAGTTTGGGGCCGCGTTTGCCGTGGAGCCGCCGCGCTGCATACCGTGGCGCCATCTCTGGTCGGGGAAGCAAAGTCGCCCCGCCCCCGCCTGCCCCCGCGCCGCCGCCGCCGCCGCCGGCGCCGCCGCCGCTCAATAGATTTGCCCCAGTCGAGCCCCTTTGTTCTCGTCCCCTCCCGAGCCCCCATAGGAACGCGCGTCTTCCTCGCGTACTCATAGGCGCCCCACCAGTGACCATGCGTCGCAGTTTCCTCGGGAATCCTGGCGACTTCGTCGAAGCACAGGCCGGTATCCGAGAATTTCATGTCCAGGGAAACCATGCCCGTCTTCGCGGAGCGACCTCCATCGCCCGTCTCTGACCCCCTGCCCCAGGCAAGCACGGGACGCCGGCTTGAATGGCGTCCGGCGTTGGGAGAGACCCGACCCGCTGACCTTGGAGCGGCCCGGCAACCGGCGCCGGTTGTTTACGCCAATGACTGTCGCCTCTGCAGGGCTGCAGCAGTCAGCGGCGGGGCGGCTCCCTCTAGCGGTGGAGCGAACGTCATGCACGCTGCCGGGTCACGCAGTCGTGTCAACAGCTTGCTTGCTGGCATGTCCAAGTGACTGCGTTAGGGACGCAGATGACTGCATTAGGGACGCGAATGACTGCATTAGGGATACAGATGCCTTTTTTAACCACGATTGACCAGCAGCGCTGTTGCGCCCCAAAGCCAAATTCGGGCGTGATCGCATGCTTTGCTAGTGTTGCGTAGCGCCGACTGCCAGCGTCTGCTCGCTGCCCTGTGCTCCATGGTCCGGCGACTCAGGTGATGCAGGCAGTTAACACAGAGAGCCGCGCACAACGGGCTGGCCTGAGCCGGTCGGCCTGAAGAACAGGGTCGTTCGGTGCAGGACGGGCTTCTGTGTTGACGACGGAAGTTGGGCGTGCGCAGGCCTGGTCTCAAATGACACCGGCGTTTGCAGCCAGGCGCTGAGCACGCCTTGTCAGCGCGTGAGCTCGCATAGACCGATGCCATTCGCCAGAAACCGACCGCACCAAATGCCTGGACATCCGATGCCGGGTCATGGCTCTCACCAAGGCCGTCCAGGGGTCACACTGTCCGCCTGCCCTGCTCGCCCACTTCAATGCTCTTATCCACAAATCAAGGGGCTGAAATTCAGTGGTTCATGACGAAGAGAACAAGTAAGCAAGCTGCATTGTTCTTGTCGTCATTTTTTAATGTTCCTCAAGGATGAATGGATGAGGCTTTACATAATACGATGTTATGAGGACGTTTCAAGTCTAGCTCCGAGCTAATTTTTTTCTCGAAAGTAGGTCTTTATCAATCGGCGTCCATGCATCAATCAACACAATTGACATTGAAAATGATCACTTTTTTAAACAAAGAACCCTGCTCAGTCGGGATTACCGCTCCATCTCGCCTGTAGTCTCGCCTGAGTGTGGACTGCCCAGCCAACTGACTGCCCAACTGACCGACCAACTGACTGCCCAAATAGCCGCCCAACTGACCACCCAACTGACATCTGACTGCGCGCCCGGCCGACCCCCTCACTGCCGGCACGACTGAACCTCGCGTCACGTTTCAGGCAGGTGGGCGACGAGGTGGCCCACCCCGGCGTGGGCAACGTCGGCTCGGCCTGGAACGATGAAGAGGCCACCAAGTACTACACCTACTACCAGTGGGTCGTGTTCGTACTGGCATTCATGGCCATCCTCTGCTACGCGCCCAAGTTCATCTGGGATGCCATGGAGAACAACATCATGGTCACCGTCGTGATGGGCCTCAACTGGGGCCTCAAGTCGGAGGACGAGATCTGCAAGAAGAAGAACACGCTGGTGGACTACATGTTACGACACATCCGAGTGAGTGGTGACGCTGCGGCTCCCGACGCCGTACAACGTGACATTTTGTGGCTTATGCGCTGGCAGATGGGTAGAAAACATTTGGGGCACTCATGCGCTTATATGACGAAGATTCAAAATTCGTTTCAGTGCATAAATGTCTTGCCACCTCTTAATGGTACTGGCGGCATCAGACCCATATCGCAATGATGGTGATATATTTCTGTAAAGCTGTCTTAAAATATGCTGTAAAATCAAGTTTCAGTTAATTTCGTTTTACGGTCTGATCTTAACCAAGACGTTGAAGCCTGTGTTTTGTATATTTATCACGCAATTAAAACATACCTCTGGGTGATGTCAGCAGGCACTTACCGCTTTGATGTTACATAGGAGGTGGCGCGGATGCACCAACAGGCGGACCTGTTGTATTTAGTTATGTAAAGCATGCTCCTTATTTACCACATTCATTATTACGTGCACCGTTTCCTTTGGCACCATTCGCAGTTGAAATTTGTATTTCATCAGCTAGATATCACACGATTTTGCCATTGCCTCATATATGTTAGATGTCAAGTAGGTGCTCAGTATTCACTCCGTAGTGACAGCTCCCGCCTCTCGCAGTGACCGCCCCCACCCCTCTCTATCTGCCCGCAGTCACACGACATGTACGCGTACCGCTACTTCTTCTGCGAGCTGCTCTGCCTGGTAAACGTCATCGGCCAGATGTACCTGATGGACGCCTTCTTCGACGGCGAGTTCTTCACCTACGGCTCGCGCCTGATGAACTTCTCGGAGATGCCCCAGGAGGAGCGCGTAGACCCCATGGTGAGGACGGTGCCCCAGAGGCAGGCGGACCCGGCGTCGATCACCTCAGACCTAGTGTGGGGATGACATTGGCGGCAGGTCACGGGGTGTGTCGATTATGTCATCGGCTTAGATGGTTCGAGCGATCAGTGCCAAAACTTGTCAGTAACTGGATTTGTATTGACCAGGTTGCCTCGACTGAAAGAGTGCGCCTTGAATTTCCCTGGGAAGGGCACAGTTGCAATCCTTATGTATTCCTTCCTTGTTGCGAATCAGAAAAACTGACGAACCTGTCGCGATGTTCGCGACCGGTAACACACACGCGGCTCAGGCTATGGCCCGCCGCGACCCCATCCATCGGGACCGTGGTCCAGCGGGCACCGGTGGTTCCGCCGGCCCACATCGCCACCACATCCATCACCGTCCCTCGACGCTCTGCCCTCTGACGGCCGATGGCGGTGGCGGGGCGTTTGTTGACGCTCGACGGCTGGGCGTCTGCGGCTCTGGCGACGGCAGACCGGCCGGCCGGGGCCGAGCCCAGCGGCCGGGCGTGGCCTACATTAGGCGCCGGCCGAGTGCTGACAGCTCGGTGGACGCGTTTATCTGCGGAGGGATGAGTGATAATGGCAGTACGCGCCCTGGACGATGTCACAGGACCGTCCTAACGAGGCGGTGCGAGGAGACGTAACTGACGGGGCCGTGCACGACATGTGTGGCGACCTTCGTCAGAGCCCGCTCCACTGTTCCAAGCCATCATTAGCGCGCCTCAGACTGTAAAATTGGTGCATCTTTCTGCTCGCCGCGTCCGCCGCGATGACCGCTGTTGGCATGCGAACGTGCTCATCCGCGTGCCGGTGGTTGCGAGGTGCTCATCAACGGATGCAAGGCCTTTGCTGAATAGCGACTGACCAGCACCACCTTTCTCTGTCCATCCCAAGAGAATCTGATTTGCCGTCATGCTCCGATCCGCGTTGCAGCGACATTATCATTTTTTGTAGACTTTGATTTGTCGACATCACCCTGTTTCCGGGAGGGAACATTTCTCGCAGCGTTTTGTGTAGCTCTCACTGTCGTGGTGGAAGCTTGCCTGGACGCCACAGGGCAGACACCCGGCATAGATGAGGGCCACTTCTCGAGCCATCAGCCGGCGTGCACGGGTCACCACATGCGTACGTCAACTGAGCCGAGCCCCCTGTTGGCAGGTGTACGTGTTCCCGCGCTTGACCAAGTGCGTGTTCCACAAGTTCGGACCCTCGGGTACGATCACCCGCCACGACTCGCTCTGCGTGCTCGCGCTCAACATCGTCAACGAGAAGGCGTTCATCTTCGTCTGGTTCTGGTACATCATCCTGGCCACCATGCTGAGCGTGGTGCTGCTGCTGCGCATCATCATGATCTTCGTGCCGAAGGTGCGGCCGGCCCTGATCCACATGAAGAACCGCATGGTGCCGCGCGACGCCATCGAAGTCATCTGCAAGAAGAGCTCGCTCGGTGACTGGTGGCTGCTTTACATGCTCTGCTTCAACCTCGACCCGTTCGTCTACAAGGACGTCATCGCAGAGCTCAGCAAGAAGATCGAAACGGCCGAGAGCAACGCGCCGCCGAGCAAGACGTCGATGGTCTGAGGACGCCCGCCGGGTGACACCCAGACGGCGCTAGCCTCTCCTCGGCGCCCGCGGCCGGCCGCCGGCGCAGCGCGTGACCACGTCTTCGCCCCGACGAAAACGTGGTCATGTCTCGGCGGGCGGGCGGGCGGGCGCCGACACTAGCGCCGCGCGGCGGTGACTGAGATTACTATATCACGTGCTGGAGTATAGGTGACGCTGGGGCGCGGAGGTGCGCCGTTGCGGCGCGGCCGCCGGGCGTGGGGCTCGGAGCCTCCTGAGCACGAGACAACGCAGCCGCCAGTGCCTTTCAGCTCAGCGACCGATCGCCGATGCATTGCATGGCTGAAGTCGTGCGAGGACGTGAACCATTTACGCTGCCTTTTGGGGACCAATAACGTCGAGTAACGCGCGGCTCAAGACGATTCCTTTGTACGATTTTTACGGCGTTTTTTTACAACCGAGCTTCCCCCGTGGTGAAAAGAGTGCGGAGGTGCGCGAGCTGATGTGACTGTGCCAGCCTGTTACTTCTAAGAGACGCGTCGCGAAGCAGTGGCCGCAGCTTTGCGGCCGCCGAGTCAACTGTCTGGCGCACGCTGAATGGATCTCGAGCCACTGCAGAAATCTCGGAGAGTGATTCTCGAACAGCGCAACGTTCAAGTCTTCCATGCTATTTTGAAATTCCTGATTCCGCCTTCCAGTGTACCATACTGTGAGAAACCCGGTTTTTGTTGAGATGCGTGCAGCCATGTAAGAAGCATTCGGGGTGGCCTGTATTTTTGTACTGACTCCACCACCATGCCGTAGCAGGTAACAGGTAATAAAGTCTGCTGTGATTACCATGTGTCGTGCGTGTCCAGAACGGCGCGAAAGACAGTGAAGATATCCGGTATGATAATGCTGGCCGGCATGGTGGTACTTGTAATGACAAGCGCACACATGGACCCTGAAATGAAACGCCCCTATTCCTGATTGTAAATAGGCGCATCGGTTAGTATATATTAAAATGATTTGCCAGAAGCTCTTGCAGCTAAAATTTTTATTGAAATATAAAATTTCAGAACATACGGCAACCTTGTTAATCAAGCATACTGAGTGGGTTTTTAGTCCGTGATAATACATCACGACTCCTTGAAAAAAAAATTATTCAAAACCCTAACGTACGATTAACATTTTTCTCCAATAAACATATGCTCCAGAAGGGAATAACCCTGTTCTTTTTTGTAATTTCATCAGATGCTAAGAACTTAACGCATAGCAGCTTTGCATGCTTTCAAGAAAGTGACTGGACGCGGTGCTGGAAAAGGGATGTTGAGACAGTCAACAGTTATGGAGATTACTGCTCTATCAAACTGAGGTAGGAGGAAGCTTCTGTCTTAAACACAGCTGCTGTTGCAGCCTGGCAAGCCATGGATACTAGACCTGACTCGGCATGCTCTTCATCCTTGAAAAAGGACTGGAGGCGTCGAACAGGCCAAAAATGGACAGGTTTCGTCATGGCAGAGCCCTGATAAGTTCATGTTGCAAGTGTATATCTGGGACTCTTACTCAGCTACCAAAACCAGGGCTCAGGGTCTCCGATATTTTTGTTCGGTACCAGCATAGCTTGGTGTCTGAAAGCATGAGCCTCCATGACAAATACTGCAACAAACACCGTCAAAGACATGCAAATTTTCGAACTGCCGTAACCATATGTCGGCACGCTTTTCAGCCTGCATTATGTTAACAGGTCAGTCGGACTGATGACCGAAGATCTGTGATTTATGGTGAGCTCACGACGCTCCCTGATTTGGCCAACCACAATACATGCGAGTCATTTCAGTATTAAATCAGAAGCGTGGGGTAATTTCTTTGCATCGAACTCCAGCGTCCCCCATCCCGTCTCCGACTAACGTTCGGCGCACACGTTGTGCAGCCATTCTTTCCACAGTGTCAGCAGACCCACACGCGTGTGATGCCGGGATTACCCTGCGCTGGTTTCTCTCTCCGAACTCAGAAAAAGTAAGACGATGACCAGCGTGATGCGGCCCCGGCACAAGCCGCTAGGCGTGGCGCCTCTCCCGTCAGAGGCAGAATATTTCACAGTGCATACGCCGCGGCGGGGGGCGGCGGGGGGGGGGGGGAGGAGAGAGGAGTTTGGTCACTTTCGCCGAGGTCATAGGCGCGGTGGTCTATCTGGCCGCTGGAAGCATTTCCCGTGCCTGGCATGCATGCAAGCTGAGCTATTCACGGCAAGGATCTGCTTGACCAATGCACGTCTCTGATGGTGCGCCTGCCTCGCATGGCCTCCTCACCACCTTTCCCGTGCCCTCGGTCGGCCTGGCCAGCAGGCGCGGGCGCTCCCCATGTCACAGAGTAGGACTCAGGTCCTGAGTCATCGCGCCTCGCCAAACTCGTTGTGGCGCTAGTTTTAGTCGCATTTTCTCTAGAGGCGAATAACAAAATTACACACGCCACACAAACGCTACGGCGAACTGCTGAGCATGCAAAATTAATCAGCACTTGACGTGCATACTCAGAAAGCGATAATAAACAAGCAGATAACAGATGCAAGCTAAATACTATCTGCGGTCGCTCTCAGCAGAGCGACAAATCCTTTTTACAGGAATGGAGAAAAGACGCTGATCTTGGTCACCGATTTGAAACTTTCAGCTTCACAGATTCCAAAGTCTATATTTCTTGCTAATTTTGCTGGTTAATGTCGATGTAATTTATTAAAACACCCCATCAGGATAAGCGCTATGTTTTTTTCTGTTCGTTCCCGTGGACCAACAGCGAGACCGTTCGGAGCTTCTCTTTGTGCTTTTGAAAAGCAAGTGGCAGTGAGCGCCAGCAAGCCCTGGTAGCATCTTGCCTGGATGCTGCACGGACCTTGTAGAGGCATGAGGCGGGATCCGCCGCCTGACACCGCGTTGCCGGTTGTCATGGGAACCCGACGGCCGTGCCGACCCAGCTGCTCCTCTGCTTCACGTCCTGAGAGTCGGGTTGTCGACTGGAGCTCGGTGAAGCGTATCCGGCGTAGCGAGAACAGCACTGGGATGCCATTCAGCTGTAAAGTGGCAAGTGTACCAGCTCACGGCAAGTTCACGTGAACTGTCAAAACGTTCACGTCAGAATGCAGACATACATTGTTGTGAGCTGGTACATGCACCAGGTCGCCACCATACATGGTTATTTTCTCACGGAGATGCAGAAAGCGGGGAGTGGTCGAGAACCACGGACTAGGGTCAGCGGTAGGTCTTTGGCGAACAAGGTGTAGTGGAACAGCGTGCCGAAGAGACGGCTTACTTGTTGGTCACCCATGCTATCGCCAGCATCTCGAGCTCGACGACAGCGTCTCTGCTCTCAGTGCCAGTCAGGAATCTTCATTGGTTCTGGATCAGCTTCTATTCCGCTCCATATTGCTGCGTAGTGGCGTACCAGGGACCCGCTCGCGGCGAGGCGTCTGTCTGCAACACTGTTGGTGACGGGGGAGGAATACCCCGGAACCGGTGGAGAAACGACTGCTTTTGTGACCTAGGCAAAGGCACTTTCGTGCTAAGGTGTCCACGACCACTCATTCTTCGGCCTGAGAAGAGCGTGCAATGACTCTGCGACGTCCGATATCTATGGTGAAAATTCGCTCAGCTGTCCAACCAGTCCCAGAAAGCTTCGAAGATCTGCGATGTGTTTGGTTCGGAAACGATGCAATGGCTTCCACCTTCTGGTTGACCGCGCGAATCCTTTAGACTCAGCTTGTACCCACAGAATTCAACCCCCAGGTCAGCGAACTCCACCTTGGCAGGACTCAGCGTGACACCGTGTTCATCACACCTCTCCAGGATCGTCCACGCATGGTCTAGATGAGGGATGTAGTCGTCATCACGCGCAAGAATGTCATCCACGATTTTGCAAGGGCGTGGTACACCGTCCAGAGTCTGGTCTCCTCGTCGGCCGTACTCGTCGCCACTGGTGAGCAGTCCCTGGGGAGCCCGTTTGTGCTGGTACCGTTTCCAGGGCGTGATGAATGCTGTAAGATGCTGATCTTCATGTGCGATGGACTTCTGGCAGTACCCAATCTTGGCGTCAAATTTGGAGATAAGTCTTCTTTGCTTGTAGCAGGCAGGGCGTCGCGCGGTGTGCAGACGGGATGAGGCACTCTTCTGACGAACGTGGTCAACTTGGTCAAGTCACAACAGATGCGAGCATCTTCAGAGGTCTTCCTTGGAACAACCACCACGGGATGACACCACTCTGTAGGCTCATGCACAGAGACGATGATTGACTTGGTGCCGAGGTCGTCCAGCTGCCGTTTTACCTTATCTCGCCACCGCAACGGCATTTCGCTAGCAGCAGTCGGCGTGGATGTCTTCGCTTCTTCCCGGAGCTGTATTTTCATTGGTCCGCCTGCCATCTCGCGGAGTGTGGATGTGCCAGACACATGCGGAACGCTGCCTTCATCTGCGCAGATGACCTACCCACAGCTGCGGCGACCAGCCGCCCATGCCCTAGCATGGCGTCGGCTCACCCGGCCTGTCGCTGTGCCTGGCCGTGGATTTCGCTGATCAGTCGCCGGCGTTGACCTGTGGATTCTTCAGCTTCCACAGCGCCACAGCGCCACAGCACCACAACGTCCACAGCGGACTGCAACGCTGTGCACTGATGATGTCAGGCGACGTCACCTGTTGCGGTCCTAGAACACAAGCAGCGTTACTTGTTCCCCAGTGATATTCGTGGGCAGCGCCACCTACGGTCCGCCGCTGTTGGATGGCTGTGTCGGATGCTGCTGCCGTTCCGGAGATGGAGACAATCGTCGATGCGCTGAGAGCAGGGGCATGAGTAGAGGGTCCTCCGTCGGCTGGTGGCCAGGGCTGAATTTCAGGTGGGCGTCTCCTTCTTGAACTTGCACGTATGCAACCTGCTTTGGGAAGCACGCCGAGAGGATACACAGCTCCATGGAATGAAACCATGATAGGAGAACCGCGCGATTGCCTTCGATGACAATGCCAGCTGCGCCTGCTTGCTGACCATTGCCAAGAACGGCACTGAAAGTCCCGAGGCAGTGGAGTCGTTTGCCGTCAGCAGAGAGTGCCCTTTCCTTTGCTGGGGCAAGGTCGCATAGGACGAGCAATTGCATGTCCAGGACCGCGAACTGTGGGCTCAGCTCCGGTGTCGGGGGTCCATGGCTGACGGCCACTGCCGATGAGATGCTCGACGATGGCGTGCATCTGCGGTATCTTACGAGACGTGGGGTCTGACGATGATGCATCAGGCATCGTGATACGATGCTGCATATGATCGCGCCGATAATGCTCACCTCTGCGCCGCATCGCCACGACACCCGGTGACTACTGACATTTGACTTGATGACAGCTAGATGAACCTCCACTTTTGCAGACCACCGCTAGGTGGCCAATGCACACCGAAGTCTTGACACCTGCCTGAGTGGCCGGCTGGATACCCTTCGCTTGGGTGGTGGTGGCGGAGGAGGGTTAATTGGACCCCCTGAGATCTCGGGAACTAAGAAAGCTAGATACACCAAATGTGCATGGTGTGTTGACCTGTACGTGAACTCACTTGGGTCAAAGTTTCAGGTTCCTAGGTCATGACCTTCGGGTGAAAAAGGTCAAACAAGGTCAAATTCCAGGTTGGTCTCCAAAGTGGCTCCAGAACCTAGATAACCGTTTCCAAGCAGAAGGTCACATGCTCATTGCTCATGCTCAAGCATTCATGCTCAAGTTCAGCGACCTTGATTGACCTTTTGAAGGTCATGGTGACCAAAATCATACAAGACTGCCCCGAGTTTTGCACTTAAATAAGCGACAAAGATTATGCTGGGCAGTATGCTCTTAAAAACAAAATGTT